ATATACTGATATATCAGGCACAAATATATACTGAGATATCAGGCACAAATATATACTGAGATATCAGGCAAAAATATATACTGAGATATCAGGCACAAATATATACTGAGATATCAGGCAAAAATATATACTGAACTATCAGGCACAAATATATACTGATATATCAGGCACAAATATATACTGATATATCAGGCACAAATATATACTGAGATATCAGGCACAAATACATACTGAGATATCAGGCAAAAATATATACTGAGATATCAGGCACAAATATATACTGAGATATCAGGCACATATACTGAACTATCAGGCACAAATATATACTGAGATATCAGGCACAAATATATACTGAGATATCAGGCACAAATATATACTGAGATATCAGGCACAAATATATACTGAGATATCAGGCACAAATATATACTGAGATATCAGGCAAAAATATATACTGAGATATCAGGCACAAATATATACTGAGATATCAGGCACAAATATATACTGAGATATCAGGCACAAATATATACTGAGATATCAGGCACAAATATATACTGAGATATCAGGCACAAATATATACCGAGATATCAGGCACAAATATATACTGAGATATCAGGCACAAATATATACTGAGATATCAGGCACAAATATATACTGAGATATCAGGCACAAATATATACTGAGATATCAGGCACAAATATATACTGAGATATCAGGCACAAATATATACTGAACTATCAGGCACTGAGATATCAGGCACAAATATATACTGAGATATCAGGCACAAATATATACTGAGATATCAGGCACAAATATATACTGAGATATCAGGCACAAATATATACTGAGATATCAGGCACAAATATATACTGAGATATCAGGCACAAATATATACTGAGATATCAGGCACAAATATATACTGAGATATCAGGCACAAATATATACTGAGATATCAGGCACAAATATATACTGAGATATCAGGCACAAATATATACTGAGATATCAGGCACAAATATATACTGAGATATCAGGCACAAATATATACTGAGATATCAGGCACAAATATATACTGAGATATCAGGCACAAATATATACTGAGATATCAGGCACAAATATATACTGAGATATCAGGCACAAATATATACTGAGATATCAGGCACAAATATATACTGAGATATCAGGCACAAATATATACTGAGATATCAGGCACAAATATATACTGAGATATCAGGCACAAATATATACTGAGATATCAGGCACAAATATATACTGAGATATCAGGCACAAATATATACTGAGATATCAGGCACAAATATATACTGAGATATCAGGCACAAATATATACTGAGATATCAGGCACAAATATATACTGAACTATCAGGCACAAATATATACTGAACTATCAGGCACAAATATATACTGAACTATCAGGCACAAATATATACTGAGATATCAGGCACAAATATATACTGAGATATCAGGCACAAATATATACTGAACTATCAGGCACAAACCTATACTGAGATATCAGGCACAAATATATACTGAGATATCAGGCACAAATACATACTGAGATATCAGGCACAAATATATACTGAGATATCAGGCACAAATATATACTGAGATATCAGGCACAAATATATACTGAGATATCAGGCACAAATATATACTGAGATATCAGGCACAAATACATACTGAGATATCAGGCACAAATATATACTGATATATCAGGCACAAATATATACTGAGATATCAGGCACAAATATATACTGAGATATCAGGCACAAATATATACTGAGATATCAGGCACAAATATATACTGAGATATCAGGCACAAATATATACTGAGATATCAGGCACAAATATATACTGAGATATCAGGCACAAATATATACTGAGATATCAGGCACAAATATATACTGAGATATCAGGCACAAATATATACTGAACTATCAGGCACAAACATATACTGAGATATCAGGCACAAATATATACTGAGATATCAGGCACAAATACATACTGAGATATCAGGCACAAATATATACTGAGATATCAGGCACAAATATATACTGAGATATCAGGCACAAATATATACTGAGATATCAGGCACAAATATATACTGAGATATCAGGCACAAATATATACTGAGATATCAGGCACAAATATATACTGAACTATCAGGCACAAATATATACTGAGATATCAGGCACAAATATATACTGAACTATCAGGCACAAATATATACTGAACTATCAGGCACAAATATATACTGAACTATCAGGCACAAATATATACTGAGATATCAGGCACAAATATATACTGAGATATCAGGCACAAATATATACTGAGATATCAGGCACAAATATATACTGAGATATCAGGCACAAATATATACTGAGATATCAGGCACAAATATATACTGAGATATCAGGCACAAATATATACTGAGATATCAGGCACAAATATATACTGAGATATCAGGCACAAATATATACTGAACTATCAGGCACAAACATATACTGAGATATCAGGAACAAATATATACTGAGATATCAGGCACAAATATATACTGAACTATCAGGCACAAATATATACTGAACTATCAGGCACAAATATATACTGAGATATCAGGCACAAATATATACTGAGATATCAGGCACAAATATATACTGAGATATCAGGCACAAATATATACTGAGATATCAGGCACAAATATATACTGAGATATCAGGCACAAATATATACTGAGATATCAGGCACAAATATATACTGAGATATCAGGCACAAATATATACTGAACTATCAGGCACAAACATATACTGAGATATCAGGCACAAATATATACTGAGATATCAGGCACAAATATATACTGAGATATCAGGCACAAATATATACTGAGATATCAGGCACAAATATATACTGAGATATCAGGCACAAATATATACTGAGATATCAGGCACAAATATATACTGAGATATCAGGCACAAATATATACTGAGATATCAGGCACAAATACATACTGAGATATCAGGCACAAATATATACTGAACTATCAGGCACAAACATATACTGAGATATCAGGCACAAATATATACTGAGATATCAGGCACAAATATATACTGAGATATCAGGCACAAATACATACTGAGATATCAGGCACAAATATATACTGAGATATCAGGCACAAATATATACTGAGATATCAGGCACAAATATATACTGAGATATCAGGCACAAATATATACTGAACTATCAGGCACAAATATATACTGAGATATCAGGCACAAATACATACTGAGATATCAGGCACAAATATATACTGAACTATCAGGCACAAACATATACTGAGATATCAGGCACAAATATATACTGAGATATCAGGCACAAATACATACTGAGATATCAGGCACAAATAAAGGGTAAAAGTGCAATGTTAAACAAGTGAAATCTTATGTTCGTTCCTGAGGTTTTTTGGAAAAGCTTATTTCCTTTTTTCCCTAAATACTTCTTTGTTGATTTGAATGAAAAAAATGAAGGTATAGCATTCATATACTTGGTCTTGACGGTTAAAATTAAACTTGCAAAGAGCACACTCAAACACAGCAAGTTAGGATCATTCAGGTTAAAATAAATTAATGAAGATACGACAAAATACTATTTTGACTTTTCAAATATTACACATACTGCAACACCCACAAAATACTATTTTTTGGATCCCATACCCTATCCTGTGGGTGGTGATGGACCCCATAACCACCCTGTGGGTGGGGATGGACCCCATACCCATCCTGTGGGTGGGGATGGACCCCATACCCATCCTGTGGGTGGGGATGGACCCCATACCCATCCTGTGGGTGGGGATGGACCCCATACTCATCCTGTGGGTGGGGATGGACCCCATACCCATCCTGTGGGTGGGGATGGACCCCATACCCATCCTGTGGGTGGGGATGGACCCCATTACCCATCCTGTGGATGGTGCTGGTAGACACCCCATCTCCTCGCGGCATTACATACAATATACAAGGGAGACTATTAGAATCCATTCCGACGGCAGCTCTCTGCCCCAAGTCATACATACATCACATAATATAAATAGTTAGGGTACTGCATTTAATGAAAATATTCTCGAAGTGATTATCCAATCACTTCTTATGTCCAAATTATATATCAACTTGTAATATTTTAGCATTTTTTTTTTTAACTCGGTGTAAACGCTAAAGACCTGCCTTAGCGTTTTCGTCGCCGCTTTCTTGTTAAATTCCATACCATTAGTTATCATTGCAGGACCGCCGTGCACCTCAAATACCTCCTTTAATGTGCATACAATTTTCACAGTATCTTCAAGGTTTGAATTAGGTCTAAGTTTAGTCTATGCTTCTCCAGATGAAGCGGGTTGAGCTCTATTAGAGTGAAGAGGCGGGAGAAAAGAGCGAGCATGCGCAGAGAGAGGGGAAGAGAGAGAGAGAGGGGAAGAGAGAGAGGGGAAGAGAGAGAGAGAGAGGGGAAGAGAGAGAGAGAGGGGAAGAGAGAGAGAGAGGGGAAGAGAGAGAGAGAGGGGAAGAGAGAGAGAGAGAGGGGAAGAGAGAGAGGGGAAGAGAAAGAGAGAGGGGAAGAGAGAGAGAGAGAGGGGAAGAGAGAGAGAGAGGGGATGAGAGAGAGAGAGGGGATGAGAGAGAGAGGAAGAGAGAGAGAGAGGGGAAGAGAGAGAGAGAGGGGAAGAGAGAGGGGGGGAGAGAGAGAGAGGGGAAGAGAGAGGGGAGAGAGAGAGAGAGAGAGAGAGAGAGAGAGAGAGAGAGAGAGAGAGAGAGAGAGAGAGAGAGAGAGAGAGAGAGAGAGAGAGAGAGAGAAGAGGAGAGAGGAGGAGAAAAGAGGAGAGAGGAGGAGAGAAGAGGAGAGAAGAGGTGAGAAGAGGAGAGAGAAGAGACAGCGAGCCTGCAAGAGTTTATCAATAAATCCCAAAGTGCAACAAAACGCGAGTAAAGGCGTGGTTGAGTACTTACCTGCCGCGTTGTGTGGTAGAGGACGCCGCGAGGGACTGGTGAAGGGGAAGTAGGGGGAGTCTGGGGCGAAGGTGGCACCGTCTGGGCCACCTCCAGTGGCACCACCTACCGCCCCCGCTCCCACGTAACCACCACTCACGCCCTGTAACACAATCGTAACACTCATTAGCAACACTCCTAACACTGTGCTTCGGCTGTACAGCATCCGGCAAGACAACTGTGACGCTACACACGTCGCCAGAGCAACAATGATTAATACATAACACTTAACTCCAACAATACCAAAACATCCAACAATGTAGCATAGATGAACAAATCCACAAGGGCCGTGACGAGGATTCGAACCTGCGTCCGAGAGCATTCCCAGACGCTGCCTTAATCGACTGAGCTGCGGCCCTTGTGGATTTGTTCATTTGATGCATCACGCAATTGTGATTTCTATGTGTAATGTAGCACAGTATAAATACCGAATCGTGCACGATCAATAACATTTATCCATCTGAAATACAACAGCTCTAATGATAACAAAAACTCACCCTGTGCAGCACAAGACGAGGCTAATAAGAGCACTAACTCACCCAATAACCTCAAATGACGTCAACCTACATTCCGTAACTAAAGTAACTCGACTAACACCCTCCGTCACCCAACTCACTGAATGATCAATACATTCAAGTCAATCAGGTAATGCTAATTTAAGCGTTACGAACTGTATCAACTAACTCAAACATTCACCGAGTGTAGAAGGTTCAACTTCCTAGAGAAGAAATGCTGCTGCTTCTTCGCGACACTCTTAGCTCCCCATTAGTTTTTACGTCTCTAAATAATTTTCTTTCCTTCACTTTTCATCTGTAACCAATTTCATTGGTGTAAGAACTGAGTACAAGCATTTTCCAAGGATGGAAATGACAGGGTACACTGATGGGATTAGGAATATGCTGAATCACTCTGAAAATCGTCGACGTCAATCCAAGGATTTGCCGGATTAGACATTTGGCAGGTTAGCCGATCCTGGCACTTGCACTCCTGTACACTTGCAGAGTCCTGGCAGTGCCAAAATTGGCACTAAACGTCCTGACATTTTCGGTCTGGATACTTAAACATTCTCAACACTTGCAACCGAAGAAAAGAGCATTTCGACACTTGGCCGTTCCATCTCTTTGAATGTTCAAGCATTTACTTGATACTCAGTACATAGTACTGAGTATCAGTACTATGTACTAAAGTACTGAGTATCAGTACTATGTACTTTGGAAGTTATAACCCATTCCGGCAATGACAAATCCAAGTGTTAGACAGTTTTAGTCCTGGCATAAAACGAGTGCTTACTGGTCAATTATGATAAATTCCAGACCTTAGCATTTAATCATTCCAACATTTACATATTTCAGCATTTTTAAATCCTAGCAGCTGCAAATTCCAACAAGTTACAGTTCTAATATTCAGAATTTCAGCACACTTAGCAGTCTCATTATTCAGTAATTCCAGTTACTGGAAGTCCTGTCTTTGCAAATTCAAATGCTTTGCAGCGCTCCCAACCCTTGATAGTTCCAGTCCGAACAGTCCAATTGTTTTCAGTTCCTGCACATCCCAGCACATGCATCACAATCCGTTGCCGTAACCAAGTTCAACAAACATTACATGTCCGAGAATGCAACAGGATACTGAGCCACTCTCAAGCTTCTCTTTACACGTTCGCCAATCATACCTGAAACCACGTATCTTCTGAAATGAATGCACCATCTGGAAAGTGTGTAGAGTGCATAAGATTTACAGTAAGAACGAAGTCATGCCTCCTTGACGTAGCAGTAAAATAGGTACCTGGGTGTTAGTCAGCTGTCACGGGCTGCTTCCTGGGGGTGGAGGCCTGGTCGAGGACCGGGCCGCGGGGACACTAGAAACCCCCGAAATCATCTCAAGATAACCTCAAGATGTTCAGAAAATACATGTCTGATAAATTTAAGGTAGTGGTAAACGACTTGCCAACAAGGCCCGACACAAATCCCCGCGACGCCCGAACCATCACATGATGCCCCAAGCGTGGTACAAGGGGGCACGTGATTCCAGGTGCTACCGTATGATCATCTCTGGTTCTAGGAGTGATTCATCGCGGACAAGCTCACAGGGACAAAGGTAGGGAAGCGGTACCTCACCACGAGGAACTGGTTAGCAAGCCTGACGAATGGGTTAAAAACATGTGAATGGGTGGATGAATGGTGTGTGTGAGTACCGAAGCGGTGGGTGTTGTCCACACTTGGTGTGCTACACAGTTGAGTTTCAGCTTCACTCCTGAGGAGTCCTTGTTGAAAATGTCCGAAAGCAGTTCATATGCTGGCCAACCTCTCACATGCCACTGACGTCATCCGGTTAGTGTGCGCCTCGGGAGACTGATCTGACGACTTCACCGCCCAGGAAAATCATCCCTTTCAGACTCCAGGAGAGTTGCTTTGTCCATTTGGTATCTTATCCCTGGCCTTCTGTCCCCCGTTACTCATCTACATACCTTTGTATTTACTGAAGTTCAACTCTTCCAGCCATCACTTTCACCAAATTGTCGGTTTCTTGCAGTTTTTCTCCGAGTGTAGCACGGGCTCACCATAGCCCGTGCTACTTGGAACTTTGTTCCAGGTAGCGAATCTTTAACAACAACAACATCCGAGTGTATTACTCTCAATTTCTGCATCATCAGTAAACATTAATAAGGAAAAGTCTATCCCCTCTGGGAGATCATTCACAAAAATCAGGCATAGGATAGGTATTAATGTAAAAAAACTCAGCGCAGGTCAAATATAACCACGGATTAGAATAACAGGGTATATTAGTGGGATTAGGGATATGCTGATTCGCTGATAATTTCGTCTCAACACACTGATAACACTTCATTATGTAGCTTCTTCAAGTGTCATAATTGGTACCAAATGAAAGGCTTTCTGCCCCACCCTTTTATATCCTGATTTATGTTGCCCAGTCAAAGAATTCATTCAACGTTGAACTCGCAGGATTTGTCTTGCATGAACCCAAGTCGGTGTCTCGTCATGAAGACCTTTTTCTCCCGATGCTCCAACTTCATGCTAATGATCTTTTCCATGACTTTACATGGTATATATGTAAGGGAGACGGGGCTGTGTTTTAGCACTTCCTGCCTGCCTGCCTGCCTGCCTCCTGCCGGCCTGCCTGCCTGCCTGCCTGCCTGCCTGCCTGCCTCCTGCCGGCCTGCCTGCCTGCCTGCCTGCCTGCCTGCCTGCCTGCCTCCTGCCGGCCTGCCTGCCTGCCTGCCTGCCTGCCTGCCTCCTGCCTGCCTGCCTGCCTGCCTGCCTCCTGCCGGCCTGCCATCTCTCTCTCTCTCTCTCTCTCTCTCTCTCTCTCTCTCTCTCTCTCTCTCTCTTTATATTGGTATACATTTGCTGCTTCTAGCTTTATGGTATCTTTAATTTCTCGATTTTAAGAGTTTATATATTTTAATAACTGGCCTCAAATCCTCCTTGTCGGAATTTACGATGAAATCGTGTCTGGTTGTGTGGTGCACCATTTTCACCACCAGTTTTGGGCGAGTGGCGACCCACCAGTTTTGGGCGAGTGGGGCCCCACCAGTTTTGGGCGAGTGGGGCCCCACCTGTTTTGGGCGAGTGGGGCCCCACCAGTTTTGGGCGAGTGGGGCCCCACCAGTTTTGGGCGAGTGGCGACCCACCAGTTTTGGGCGAGTGGGGCCCCACCAGTTTTGGGCGAGTGGGGCCCCACCAGTTTTGGGCGAGTGGCGACCCGGTTTGGGTCGGTATGTGGTAGGATTAATATATAAGTTGTGTGTTTAAATCAGACTCCTGGAGGAGGTTTCAATGAGGCTGCCGAAGCTTCCAAGTGGCTGGGGCAACTCTTACAAATATTGGTGAACTTACCAAGTTCGCCGCGGGTGAAAGCTTAAAGTGATCGCTCCACTGGTTTTAAGTACTCGTTATTTTTTGCTCTCTGTGTAATGAGATCAAAGACGTAGAGAGGCATTTTGTGTGTGTGTGTGGTGTGTGTGGTGTGTGTGTGGTGTGTGTGTGGTGTGTGTGTGTGTGTGTGTGTGTGTGTGTGTGTGTTGTGTGTGTGTACCTAACCTAACCAGTTCCTTCAGGAACTCATCCCGTCCACGTGAGTTGCCACAACGTACAGAAAATGGTGTGCCAAAACACCCGAACCTAACCTAAGCTAGCCGAGCGACCCATGCACAGAAAAAGTGAGTGTTTGTGAGCCGCTATGATTTATATTACGTCTTTTTTTGTCCGCTGGGCATCTTGACGTCAAAATGTGATGTATTGAGAGGAGAGAATAAGGGAGCCACTGGATCAGTCGGGATGTGATAACACTGCAGAACTGTGGAGCCCGGCACCGGTAGTACATAGTACAGTACAAGAACCTATAGTACAGTACAAGCACAGCAATAAGGAGAGAGGCAGAAAGAAATTTTGAAAAAGGGATAGCGGACAAATGTAAAACAGAACCAGGTCTATTCTACAAATTCATAAACAACAAATTACAGGTAAAGGATAATATTCAGAGGTTGAAAATGGGAAACAGTCACGGAAAATTAAAAGGAAATGTGTGAATCATTAAACGAAAAGTTCCAAAGTGTTTGTACAAAATTAAATCTTCAGAGAACCAGACACAATAAGAATTCCTGAGAACAACATAGAGCACATAGAGGTGTCTAGAGACGAAGTGGAAAATATGCTCAAGGAGTTAAGTAAGAACAAAGCAGTTGGCCCAGATGGAGTTTCACCATGGGTTCTGAGAGAATGTGCACCTGAGCTCAGCATTCCACTTCACCTGATTTTTTAACCATCCCTGTTTACAGGAGTCGTAGCAGACGTGTGGAAAAAGGCTAACATAGTTCCAATCTACAAAAGTGGCGGCAGGGAAGACCCCCTCAATTATAGACCCGTATCGTTGACAAGTGTAATAAGTCAAAATATTGGAAAATATAATAATAACTAAATGGGGTAGGACACCTGGAGACAAACGATATAATATCAGACAGACAGTATGGTTTTCGATCTAGAATATCCTGTGTAACAAATTTACTCAGTTTCTATGATCGAGCCACAGAGATTTTACAGGAAAGAGATGGTTGGGTTGACTGCATCTATCTGGACCTAAAAAAAA